ATGGACACGGCCAATGGTGTGGGAATGGACTGGGAGTGGGGGGGGGTAGATGGAGGAAGGCAAAAGGGTAAAAATTGGAACAACTGTAATAGAGTAAAAATTTTAAATGACTAAATGAATGAAAAGAGTAAAAAGAAAAGCAGCAGCTAGAGTGAATGGCAAATACAAATAAAGGGTATACATCCATATCCTAAAGCTCTGGAATGTATCCCAGTGCTTAGAAAAAAGAAAAGGCCACTATCCATACCCACTATGGCGGAGTGTTGTATTTTGTAACTGTTATCACATGATGATCTGTTGTTCCAAAATATGTACTTTAAAAAATAGGTTTCCAATTGTGATTTGTTTAATATAATTTTATTTAATTATAATTCTGTGCTAAACAATGGGCTTTATATCCAGCAGGGGTAATGTCTGCTTGCATGTGGTTGGCGGTTCCACCGGTACAAAATGATTTTCTGTTTGTGTGTGTTGAGAAATGATCACAATATATCTACAATAGTTAGCATCGTCACCATATGCAGTTACGAATTTTTTCTTGATGAGAACTTAGAAGACTTCTCTGAGTCTTAATAATACTTCAGACCATGGTCCTTCCCTTTTTCCTAAACACTTTAAAACATGCGACCGACCATGGCCCTGGCTGGTGTGGCTCAGTGGATTGAGTGCCAGCCTGCAAACCAAAGGGTCGCAGGTTCGATTTCCAGTCAGGGCTCATGCCTCGGTTGCAGGCCAGGTCCCCAACAAGGGATGCATGAGAGGCAACTGCACATTGATGTTTCTCTCCCTCTCTTTCTCCCTCCCTGTTTCCAAAACAAATAAATAAAATCTTTTAAAAAAAAAACATGCAACCATGGAGACTAGCCCTACTTTAATCATGGCCATAAATCTCAAACCTCAAATCCAGGATAATCTGTGTGGGACTGATTCAATCATTTGAAAGGACTTGAAAGTGACCAATAATCAAATGTTCTGTTCATCGTATCATCACATCGTATCTCATTCTCTCTCTCCCCCTTTTCTCTGCCTCTCTCTCCTTGGCTCCATTCTCATTGTCAGCAATGACCTTGCTCCCCTTTTTACAGATGAAACTGACACAGTGGGAAGAGAACTTAGAGCCTCATCATGCTGCTAACACCCACATACCCTCCCTCCCCACCTGTTATCACAGGTAAACTATTCACGACCCCATCGTGCACGGCCCTCACCCCTCTCACCAACGTCCACATCACAAAGTCTCCCTTTCCAACATCATGAGTTATCTGCTAGAGACTTTCTATTTGGAAAAGACACTCTCTCTTGACCTTACTTTCTCTTCAGCTGCTCCCCTATGTCTTCACTATTCTTCATGGCAAAACTGCTAAAAAAAAAGTTGTCTATATTCAGAGTATCCACTTCATATCCTTCCATTCTCTCTTAAATCTACTTTAACCAGCGTCTCATCGATACCACTTCACCAAAGCTGCTCTTATCAAAATCATCACTGATCTTTTAAAATTTTACTGAAATCCATGGCCAGTTCTTAGTCTTTGACTTCTTGACTTTCAGCAATATTTAACCTAGATAATCACTCCTCTCTTCTTGACAAACTCTCTTAACTTTCAACACACATAATTTCTGGCTACTCTCCATCCTGGCTGGACATTCTTTCTTGGTCTTGTTTGCTGCTGATTCACATTCTCTCTCACCTTTACTGTTGGACTGGCCCATGTTCTAGCTCTTAATCCTTTCTCCTTCTTCATCTTTCTTTCTTTGTCATCGCTTTTCATCTTGCTGTTTCAAAGACCATTTGTATGCAAACCACAGCCAATTTTATATCTTGTCCCCAGACCAATCTCTCAAACTCCTGACGTGTTTATCCCACCACCTATGTGATCTTGGCTAATTCTCAGCACTATCGGGTTCATAATCAGACTTCTGGCCAGGCCCCTACTTCTGCCTTCAAACCCACCACATCTGCTTCCCCTGCAGCCTTCTCTGTTGGATAAGAATCCAATTTATTCAGCCCAAGACCCTTGGAGCCATCCTAAGGACTCCTTTCTCTCTTACTGCACATCAAATCCATTGGGAAAGCCTGTTGGTCCATCTTTAAAGTCTTTCCAGAATTCAAATCCTCACCACCATTTCTGCAACCCCACACCTCACCCTACACCCTCTAGTGAGAGCGACCACCATCTCTTGACTGGATTGTACGGTGGTCTCCTCTCTGACCCTTCTCCTTTCATCCTATCTACAGTCTATTCTCAAACAATAACCAGTGTTAAAATATAAGTCAGATCATAGGATTCTTCTGCTCCAAGCCCTGTAAGTGCTCCCATTTCACAGGGTTCAAAGTCCTTACGAGGTTCAAAGGGCCTATAAGGCCCTGCTCTGTGTGATCCTGCTGAACTAAGCTGATGTTTTCCCCTCACTTCTGACTCAGGGGTTTCTGCTCTTCCTAAAACTTCCAGACTTACCCCTGTCCTAGGGCCTGTCCACTGCTTGGCCCTCTGCTGGAATTAACTTGCCCACTTACACAGCTCTCTCAGCCCCTTCTAGTCTTCAATCGATCATACATCCCGTCCACAAGGTGGCCTACCCTAACCACCTACTTAAAACTACAACATGCAAACCTAACCCCTGACTCCCCTCCTTTTCCTTGTACACATAATACTTATTCTCTTCCTAAACACTATGTAATTTATCTATTTATTATATTTTTGTATTGTCTGTCTCTCTCGGCTAGGTATATGGACTGCCTCACTATCATACCCCAAGTACTTGAAGGATAATAAACCCTCAATAAATACCTGTTAAAAGAAAGGCATGTAGAACAATTAGAAAACTATTGTAATTTGTCAGCAATAACCCATAAATCTAGAAAAATTTGTTTACGAAGAAACCTATTTTAATAGTCTGAAAAGCAGCTAACGATGGTTCAGTTCAGTCCTACCTTACACATATTTCTTGGAGATACAAATATAAATAATCCAGAATTCCCACCCTTGAAAACCTTATGGTAGAGAGATAGGTAATTTTAAAATGTTAAAATAGACTGGAGCAAAAGCAGGGGATCCTGAAGAGAGCAGCATGAGCAAAGATTGGGAGACATGAAACAGCACCAGGTGTCCAACGAGCTCAGAGCGTCAGACTGACAAGCTGAAGTCAGTCTGATCAGATGTCTGATTGAGGTGATTAATGGTCCAGCTGATGTGCCAACTGGCCTAGACTACTGTCCCCAGTTACTCGATGAACACCAACCTACATATTGACGTGAAGGGGTTTTGCTGATGTGGTTAAAGTATTTATCAGTTGAAATTAAATAAGGAAGCTTATGCTAGATAATCTGGGGGAGACTGATTCAGTCCTTTGAAAGGCCTTAAATGCAGAGCTGAGGCCTCCTTGAAAAAGAAGAAATTCCACCTGTGGATAGCAGCATCTTCGCACCAAAAAGTGCTAGTCTGCCCTTTCTGACGGCCTGCTCTATGATTACGGACTTGCCTCAACAGACCTCATACTCATGAGCCAATTCTCTATAATGAATTTCTAGAATGTACCTTTTACTGGTTCTGATTTTCTGGTTGAACCCTGACTGATACAGTAAAGTTTAAGGAACAAGGAGGCAAAAATGAAGGATGAGAAGCAATAGGGGCTAAATCATGAAGGCTACCCTGCTTTTAGCATGCAAAGAGGTTCACACTTTACCCTTTAACCAACAGGACAAGCAGGGTGAATGACATAATCAGGGTGGAGATGAACCATTATAGATTTGGTGTAAAGGATCTCCCGGGATGGGAGGAGGCAAGGAGGAGAGAGAGATGCCAAAGATTGGAAGACCAGAAAAGTTACATGTGAAAGAAGAAAGGAATCACGAAAGAAGACTGTGTGGAAGCCAGCGTACATGGTTTTGGGAAGGAGTGGTGGTCCATTCAACCAGCAGTAGGGAGGGGGAAGAGGAGAGAAGGAGGGGGCACACTTTCCTTTTTGGCAAGGCTCAAGTGAGGAGGTGTGGCCAAGGCCACGGGTGAAGGTTACAATTGAAGGGTTATTCAAGGTCATTGGGAGGACCCTCATCTTCTAAAAACTGTAGGAAAAGGGGAAAGGATGGGAATAAACAGAGACACTCCCGTTTGGAGATGAAGGGTAAGGAATCTGCAGTAATTTATGGCCAATGGCTCTGGAGTTTCTCAGTGCAGTTAAGAAATAAGGTTGTTGAGGGAGATGGCTAGCTGGAAGGCTTGCTTTAGTTGGGGCTGGATGGCCTCCTGCCAGGACATTACACAGGGGAATCAGGATTGAGTGAGAGTTATACTAAATGACTGCTGAATTCCCTCCAAATCCAATGTTTCTATGAGTCAGATGGACATTAAAGTTGCCTTGTTCACTGATGTTTCCTCATCACCCAAAACAATGCCTGGCATATAGCAGGCACTCAGTAAATTGGTTGAATGAATGATACTTAAGTGAGTTTCTCATCCAAACAAGCAAATAAAACCATTTTATTACAATTAACTGCTTTGATATGGACTCACTTCAGCACTTTTTTACATGTTAAAATGCTTCCCATAATCTTGAAACTTAATGTGATCCCCTAATCTTAAAAGGATGTAGGCAAGTCAAACCAGGCATCTTGGGCTTCCAAGTGGACCTTTTCAATTTGACTTTTTCCCTGGTCTATTCTATAGCAAATCATCAAGAAAAAGGCCAAATATCTTTTCTTTTATTATACAATAAGCTTTTTGGAACTGAGCAAGTTTATTCACTTAGAATTTTCATTTAGACTCTACCACTGTAGGAAGAATATAGCCTTAACCTTTTGGACACATCAAGCTGTCCCTGCTCTTATTGGTCTTGGTGACATTTTTACCACTGATTCAAGTGAGCAAAGAGGAAGAAGCATGACTCTTTAAAAAAAGCAAGCCTAACTGGAATTATGATGTAATTCAATGATACAAATATAACCCAGGCTGTTTCAGGTTGCTGCTAACATGGGTCCCTGTTGAACTTTCCCCATGCGTTACCTGGGTGGAAGGCTCTGGTTTTCCCATTAGTCAGTCCAGAAGAGCTTGCCTCCATTTTTATTGACCTTCTAATTGGTGGAAGTGAGGAATGCCTGACCACGGGCAGGCGACGGGACCCTGGGTGGCTTGCCACACTTCGCCGTTGATGGATTTGCAAACGCTTTTCAGCCCCATGAATAGAGAAACTTAAACCTGGAATGAGAAATAGCACCATTATGTTGAAGAAGTCAGTTCAGAATTTCTAAAATGCCAGATTATTCTGTGCCATGAAATCCACGGAGCATAAGCAACTATGCTGCTAAATTCTGCGACTGATGCTCGAAGTGTAATGCCAACAGATTTTCAGATTACATCATTTACTGAACACTGTTTCATTAAAAAACGGACAACCTCAGAGAGCATGACACGAGTCTTCGAAACAGGGATCTAATGAAGTCAAATATTAAGATGCTTTCCAAGATCCTGGAAAATATGTACATATTTGGCATGCTACTGCCAGGGGCTTTGAGGCTGGAATTCCAATAAAAATCAAAGAAATTGTCAAAGAATATGTATGAATGACTCATGGACATGGACAACAGTGTGGGGATTGACTGTGGGAGCAGGGGGGCGGCGCTGGGGGGGAGGGCAAAGGGGGAAAAGTTGGGATAACTGTAATAGAATAACAATAAAAAATGTTTTAAATCAAAGAACTTTCTCCACAGGATTCATGTAGAGGCCAGAGCTGAAGACTAAACTCAGATTTACATGTCTGATAACCTTAGAATTACGTACTTCTAGAGCTATTTTATCTAGAAAAATTTCAAACATATCAAAAGCAAAAATAATAGTATAATGAACCCTGTAACCTAGTACCCAGCTTGAGCATATATCAAGATTTTTCCATAAAGTTGGGAAAAAACATTTTTTCCAATCTTTTTCTATATGTATCTTTCTTTGTTGTTGGTTTGCTTTCTATGTGCCAACATAGCTTGATGCATGTCAATCTCAACAAAACCAATATTAATTGCACCAAATTACATTGATTATATATCAACATGGATCATACCTACTATACTAATACATATGAAATACATCAAATTCTTAATTCAAAATATATTTTAAAAAAACATACTGATCAACTTTGGAAGTTGCTAAAATCCAAATTCAATACTCAAAAATTGATTAGTAAAGGGAAAGAAGCAAGCATTTGACCTGCCTTTCCTTTATTGGCCATATTTCAAGGTAACCAAATAGTTGGCAAGAAAAAGTTCTTCACTCTAATGGTTGTCCCAACTTTTTTGCATCTCTGGGCCACACTGGAAGAAGAGCTATCTTGGGCCACACTTTAAGAACACAAACACTAACAAAAACTGATAAGCAAAAAAACGGTTTTAAGGAAACTTATAATTTTGTGTTGGCCTGCATTCATAGCTGTCCTGGGCCACATGTGGCCTGTGGGCGGCAGGCTGGACACCCCTGCAAGAATTCCATCAAATAAATTACTGATCGAAAAGAGAATTAGAAAATCATTTCAGAAGCCTCAATGAAATATGAAAGGTAATATGGTTTGTCCAAAGAAGCGCTCTGAGGACAGCTGGAATGCAAAGTCATGAACGTCTGAATCCAGATCTGTTCTTTAAAAAAGGCCAAGCAAAGGTGTCGGTCTTACCAATGCCAACCAGCCAGGAGGCATGGTCAAGAATCATGCCATCTAATAGGGGAAAGCTAAGCTTCACAAAATCACAGATTTTTTTTTCGAGAGGAGACACATTTGAAACTTGAAGGTAGAAATATAAAGTTAGAAGTTACTCTGGTGCCTTAGAAAGATGAGGTAACTGAGCCCCACAGGGTCAAACCATCGGTTTACATATTACCGGTACTGGAAAGCTGTAGTGAGACACCTACTAAAAACCCAGGCACAAGGGAAATAAAAACCCTGCTTAGAGGTAAACTGTAAATGAGTAATCATGGGTCGAGGGGGAAGTATGAAGGGTTGCCTTACATTTCTCCAAGGGGTGGTAAGAGATAGAATTTACAAATTGGCTTGGATCCTAACAAATTTTAAGAAAGGATGACCTGAATCAGAATGAGATTTGGTCAGCCAAGGAAGCATAAAACTCAGCAACCAACAAAATCAGTCCAATGGAGACAAACTGGGCAGCGTCCACCCAGGCAACAGCCTCAGAGTTTGAGAATCCCAAACGCACAGCCGGATAGATGGTCCTGACACAATTGTACTCTCCCTTTTCCACCTAAGTTCCCTTGCTCTGGCAGTGCTCACTGAGTTAGGATATTAGGATGTGGCCTCCAGCGCAGGGAGAGAGTGACAGACAGAGTTCTCAGTGTGGGCTGGCAAACTGGCATCTCAGGTTTCAACATGTCCACTCCCCATGACCTGCTTGGTGTGAGTTTGACCCCAAGGTCTGTTTTTTAAGCCCACATGCGGTGGGCCTGTGCCTTGGTCTTGGGAAATTCACCCAGGTAAGGCCTGTCATGCTGGGCGACCCCTTGGGGGACAGACAGCCTGGCAGCTTCCCCTTGGCAATGCATGTCCTGCTCTGGTGCTCAGGCGTCTACGCAAGTGCGTCATTAAATTCCTGGTCTCTCTCTATGGGCGGAAGTACTACCGCCCAGCATCAGCCTTCCACTCCTATGTGCTCCCTACTGCTGCTGCATGCTCCACATTTCCAAACAGATACAAAACAAATGTCTGTAGGCCCATCAAGACTCCAGAAGGCAGGCAGATTTTCAGGTGACAGGTGAAGAGGCTGGGAGCAATGTTTTATAAGTCAACATCAGGCAGTATGTGCAGTCTCAGTTTGCTCTGCCCAAAACACTTCTTCTTGCCCCTTCAGTGGAGGAGTATTGGGCTGAAGGGACCATGAATGTGAGTCAGTGTGGCGCTTCTAGCTCTTACATAACTCCTCTCAAGGAAACACAAAATGACAGATGAGAATAAAAATTACACGGTGGAAATAAATGGCACAGGTACTTGAAACTGTTGAATTCCATGTTTAAAAATACATGATAATAGACATCATGGGGAAATGTTAAAAATAAAGAAGAATTCATGACTATTACCAAGACAGGATGGACGTGAGGAAAATGGGTATATTGCAGGGGAACTTGGAGGAACCACTGATGCCTGAGGCTAATCCTTTCAGGTCCTCCAAGAATTAGGAGTTCACGGAGGTACACCTGTGAAGAGGTACAAAGGGCCTGGCACATGAGAGCTCTGCTCATACAAGGCCATGTCCAGGACGGGGAGAGATACATCAACAAACAGTATACGAGACAAAAGATACGCTTCAAACATATGAAAACATTAACATTTACAGAAGATCCAGCAGTCATATCTTCAGAAATGAATTATCAGACAATAAGTTACATCATCCAACTTGTTCTTAATTACGTTTAAAAAATATTGAAACAAAATATTGACCAGGCATTGTCCTTAGATATTGGTTATTATCCCATTAATGCTTCGGCACAACCCAAAAAGACAGAGAATTGGTATCTACATTTTACAGATGAGAAACCTGAGGCTTAAAAGATAAAGTTACTGGTCCGAGGTCACGAGTGATTAACTGGAATTGGAACCCAGCTCTTTTCCATTACACTGTGTAGCCTAATGAATTAAATACCAGAACATAGGCTAATTGTTTTAAGTCTGTAGTGGTTCTGAATAATTTAACAAAGCAGGGCTAGAAGGTCCAGTGTGCTAGTATTCCTTCGACCTAGACTCTTCCAGAACTCTTGTTTTCATTCCCTGCCCCACGCTCTGCATCACACTGAAATGTCCTCTGGATTCTTGACTGGCTACCGAACTTCTCAGCCAGTACGAACCAACTGAAACCTTCACCTGGAAGCCCTTCTCATTCTTCTGGCCCACAGTCAACACCCAGTTAATTGCAATCAACCCTTGTCATGCAATGCTCTTGTCCAGTTATTCATCTGCCAGCACGGGGATGTCCCATTTTCCAAGTAGCCCAGGAGTCTCTAAGGCAGGGATCATACTATATACTTCCCCAATTCCTTCCTTGGCTCTGAACAAAGTACACTGCACACAGAGGTGAAGGGTGACAGTCCCCCTTCTGCCCCTTCTCCCCCTGCATGTGGCATTCTGCATGGTACATGGACCTCTTGGGCACAAGAAGAGCACAGGGTCAAAAGCCAGTCAAGGAAATGACGCTGAGCATGTTTACCTGAGCAGCAAAAATTTAACTCAGTGCTTCCTGTCTCACTACACCCTCGTCATCTCCCCGGGGTGTCCTGAGGCCCGACTCGGCCATCTTCCTCGGCATCAGCAAGCAACTTCCTCTCCAACTCAGCTGACAAAGCCCAGGTGACGTAATTTCTAACCTTCTCTCCATTCTACCTCAAAATATCTTTAAAAAAAAAACACCTTTTGTTTTTGAGTTCTATTATCTACCTTACATGATGGAAAAATCTAAAGTCAGAACCTGGAGAAACACCTTTAGGGACAAGAAGAGGGAAATACAGTGTGTGGTTAAATTGTGGGTGCTGGAGCCAGAGTTTCTGGGTTTGAACTTGGCCACACCATTGACTACCTGTTTTACCTAGTGTATGTGATTCAGTCTTGTTGGGCTTCAGTTTCCTCACCTGAAGGCAGGGATGATCACAGTTTGTACCTCACCGAGCTGTCAGAATGAATGAATACCTCTGAAGTGTTTAGAGCAGTGCCTGGCATACAGCAGTTGCTTAAGGGACAAGTTAGCTGTCGCCATTAGCTTCTATCACATCAATGACTTCCCCTCACTCTTCATGCTCACACCCTTTAAGCCCTACCTTTAACACCATTACCTCTGATCATCTATTTTAAAACTCTTTTTCTCTTGTTCCCAAAGAGGAGGTATTAGTTTCCTAGGGCTGCTATAACAAATTATACAACTCTGGTGGCCTGAAGCAATAAAAAATCAGTATCTCACAGTTTGGGGGCTTGAAGTCTGGAATTGAGGTGTTGTGAGGGCTATGTTTCCTCCAGAAGCTCTGGGGACAAAGTGGGTCCCTTGCCTCTTGCAGCATCTTGTGGTGCGGGTGTTATTCCATGGCGTTCTTTGCCTGTGACTACGTACACCACTGCATTCACTATCTCCATCGTCACATCCCCTCCTCTCCGTGTCTGTGACTAATCTCCCTCTGCCTCTCTCTTATAAGGGTCCTTGTGGTAGCATTTAGCGCCCACCTGG